TTCTTCTTCTTCTTCTTCTTCTTCTCCAAGCCCTTACTCTGCTCCAGTTCGTGTGTGACCCGTCGAAAGGCGACAGACCTCAGCGCGGAACGCACATAGTTCGGGTCGCCGCCGTAGTTGCCGTTGACCGTGGCGCGGCCGTCGCGCTGGTAGGGCCAGTAGACGGGCGCGGCGGCGCGGTTGCACGGCAGCTGCTGGTAGTTGGCGCGGAGGCGGTAGCGGCCGGCGTCGGGGCAGGCGAACATGCGTGCTTGGAGGACTGTGTGTAGCCATTGCGTGGCTGTGGTTAGTACAGGAGATGGATTTGCGGGGGGTAGTTACTTATGATGTGGTGGTGGTAGAGAAGGGGTGGGGTCGTGGTGGGATTGTTTGGTATAGTGCTTGGGTTCGAACTCGAAAAGGATGGGTAAGGTAGGGAGGGGAGGAAGGGGGACGGACGTACTTGGATCTGCGGAGGGTGCAACGCCGCGGACCATGGTCGAGGGCGAGAAGGCAGCTTGCTCGATGTCGGCGAAGTCATTGTCCGGCTGGGGAGTGGGGATGTTCTGGTTAGTAGTGGCCCATAACCGGACACGGGAGGATGGGCGGGATCGAGGGGAGGCGTACGTTCTTGTTGAAGGTGAGCTTGCCCACCGGCTGCAGCGGAAAGTCTTCGTGCGGCCACACCTTGGTCATGTCGAACACGTTCCAGCGGTACGTCTCGGCCTGCTGTGGCGTCATGACCTGGATGTACAAGGTCCACGATGGGAAGTTGCCTCCTCAATGGCGTTGTACAGATCTGCTGTGTGGTTGTCGGGGTCCTCGCCGGCGAGGCGTTGCGCCTCGTCTGTGAGAGTCTCGTTGCCCTGGTTCGACTTGAAGTGGAACTTGACATAGTGAAAAGTCCCGTCCTCCTTTGTCAGTTTGTAGGTGTGTCCGCTGTAACCGTCGGTATGGCGCGTCGACTTGGGAGTGCCGCGGTCGCTGAAAAGCAGCATCAGCGCGTGAATGCCCTCCTGGTTCTGAGTGTGGAAGTCACAGAACATGGTGGCGTCGGTGAGGTTGCTGGCAGGGTGGCGCTTGTGTGAGCGGTTGAGCGATGGGAACTTGATGGGATCGCGGATGAAGAACACGGGGATGTTGTTGAAGACGAAGTCCTGGTTGCCCTCCTCCGTGAAGATCTTCAGAGCCCGGCCCCTGACATCGCGCACTGTCTCGGCACTCCCAGCGCCCGGTCCGACGGTCGAGATGCGAGCCAGTGTCTTAGACCTCTTGCCAATCTGTGGAAACTTGGCCGATGTCAAGTGGGATATGTCGTGGGTGGCCTTGAACTCGCCCAAGGTGCCCACGGCCCTTGCATGCACGGCCCGTTCAGGGATGCGCTCGCGGCTGAAGTGAGCCAGGGTTTCGATGAGTTGCGTGTCCTGGAGCAGCATCAAGCCCTTGACGGCGGAGCCGTCACTGAAGCGCTGGGCGGTGGTGGCCTCGGCATACGGGCAGCCTGGGGAAGGTCAATGGCAAGCCAGAAAAGAGGGATGAGCTCAAATGCATCCATGGACAATGTCAATTATACCTTCTGCCAGAGTGTAGACCGGAGGTGTTGGCATGTCTAGGAAATTCTTTCAGTGCGAAGAGAGTTGAAGTTGGAAAAGGGCAGGATGAAATCTGCTTGTATCACGCGGATTCGAGAACGCAGAGGTTCAGTTGCTGCCAGAGAGATCTACGCAAAGGTCGAATGTCTGCGAGAGGGCCCGGTCAAGACTCGAGAGAGGAGATTTCCAACTCCATGTTCTCACGATAGTCCTTTCCCGCTACTAACACTATGGCGCTGTGAGACAGGCTGCGCTGTACAGAGCAACATGATGGAGTCTGCGCGCCATCACCAACCAGTGCGGGATTCTCTCGGCATGTGTAAGGTAAGGTATGCATGTTTCTTGTTCCGCTCGCAGGACTTCTGGCTGCATCTGACTCAGCACCCTCAACCATCGCGGACAAATTGCTGTGTAACCAACTCGGATCGGAGAGATCTCGGGTCGCAGTCGGATGGAGGTTTCTCTTCCCAAAAATATGCGATGGAATTACATCATCGCGATGCAGGCCGGTTTGGCCTTCATCAGCACGGAGCAGCATCCTTAGTTACCTTACCCGTGGTTGCACATGCTACCACTGTCGATCCGGGACCTCAATCCCGATCTCTCTGATGGCGTTGCCAGTGCCGACTCCCCCTCGCCCTTACGCGTTGATCTCGTTAACGGTCTCCGGCTTCGCAGGGCTTGGGAAACATTCCGAGATCCATTCGGATGCGTTCATTGCCGAATGCTCGAGAGCGTATGGCCTGTACGGGCTGTCGCTCCAATATGCCCTGTGCTACACGTTTACTGCCGTCTTTTCGGGTATATAGTAGATGTCCTTTCGACTTCCTTCGGGACCCTGTTCATCACCAGCACCTGCCTTGACATTCCATCCCCTCTTAGCAATATTTGAGCACTTAAAGCCATCAGCCAACACCATCAGCCAACCCCCAGCGACATTTCATTGATCTCTACCACTTTGAACATCGACTTTCGAAAGAGCACTACCCTTCCCTACAGAGAGCAACACTACCTACCTTCACCTAATTTCGTTTTATTGTCTCCGACGTCTCCACCAAGCCCTCACATTCACAAACCTCAACCATGGCCGTTACCGTTGAGAACAACAGCGAGTTTGACTTCATCGTCGTTGGCGGTTCGTCAACCTCCTCCTTAGTCTCTCATCGGCAACGTTTGTGACTCATTCAATACTAGGTGGCACCGCCGGTTGCGTTGTTGCCGGCCGTCTTGCCGAGAACCCCGAGGTTAAGATTCTGGTCATCGAAGCCGGCGTCAGCAACCCCGGCGAGATCGATGCCATCACCACGCCGGCTCGCGCCTTTGAGCTGCGCGACAGCAAGCACGACTGGGCATACAAGACCACCATGATCGACCGCCCGGAGGTATGTCCTTCACTATGGCTCCGATGGCGCAAAGTCTAAGCTTTTTTTGCTAGTACACCCGCGTGGAAAAACCGAATACCCGCGGCAAGGTCCTCGGCGGCAGCAGCTGTCTCAACTACTACACCTGGATCCCCGGCAGTGCGGCCACCTACGATGACTGGGCCGAGTTTGGCGGGGACGAGTGGACGTGGGAGAAGTGCCGCAACTATCTGTACAAGCCGGCGACCTACCATGACGACCAGAACCTCTACAGCCCCGAGCTGAAGTACATGGGTCAGGGCGGGCCCATTCCCATCTCGCACTCGGACCTGGTGCCCGAGGTCGAGGGCTTCCGCGCGGCCCTAACCCAGGCGTGGACCAGCAAGGGCCAGCCGCTGACCGACGACGTGCACAACGGCACGATGCGTGGCCTGTGGAAGGCGGTCAACAGCATCTACAACGGCAAGCGGTCGTCCTCGTGGCTGTACCTCGTCAACAAACCCAACGTGGTGGTCATGGCCAAGACTAACTCCAAGCGGCTGCTGATCGAGAACGGCGCGGCCGTCGGGGTCGAGGTGATCGGACCCGACGGCAGCGACTACTCGTTCCGCGCCAAGCGCGAGGTGATCGTGTCGAGCGGCGTGTTCGAGTCGCCCAAGCTGCTGCTGCTGTCGGGCATCGGGCCCCAGTCCACGCTCGCCCAGTTCGGCATTGACACGGTGGTCGACTCACCTCATGTGGGCCAGAACCTGCTGGACCACCCGATCCTGGCGCACGTCTTCCGCCTCAAGGACGGCTACGGCCTGGACCGTCACCTGCTGCGCGCGGGGCTCGAGAAGGACGCGGCCGTGTCGGCCTACCGGTGGAAGAACAAGGGCCCGTACACCAGCGGCCTGCTGGAGCTGGTCGGCCTGCCGCGCATCGACGAGCGGCTGAACAAGATCCCGGAGTACGTCGCAGCGAAGCAAGCCAACGGCGGGGCCGACCCGTTCGGCCCGGCCGACCAGCCGCACTTCGAGATCGACTTCGTGCCCATGTTCGCCGACGCCTTCCAGTGGCACATCCCCGCGCCCGCGGAGGGCGACTACCTGACGGTGATTGTCGACCTGCTGCGGCCGCTGTCGAAGTCGGGCACGGTCACCCTTAACTCGGCCGACCCGCTGCAGCAGCCGAAGGTCAACATCAACTTCTTCGACAACTACCTCGACGTCGTCGCCCTGCGCGAGGGCATCCGCTGGGTCGACGACATCCTCCAGACCGGCGAGGGCATGCGGGAGATCATCCGCGAGGACTACCCCTGGCCGATGCCGCGGCACTCGGACGAGGCGATGGATAAGATGATTTTGGAGCGGTCGCAGACTGGGTTCCGTACGTCCTCTAATGAAAGGTGAATAATAGTGGAAAGGAACTGACAGATATGACTGTGGTTCGCAGACCCCTGCGGAAGCGCGCGCATGGGCAAGGACATCAACCAGGGCGTTGTGGACAGCAAGCTGCGCGTCTACGGCGTGCAGAACCTGCGGGTCATTGATGCGTCGGTGATCCCGGTTATCCCGGACTGCCGCATCCAGATGTCGGTCTACATGGTCGGTGAGAAGGTGAGAGATGAATTCTGCTGCGTCAGATGGTCGGGTGGTGTGACGGTGCTAACAGAACGGAAATCTGCAGGGCGCCGACATGATCAAGGCTGCATACCCCGATTTGTATGCGGCTTAAGGCCTTAAGGGAGTGGTTGCCATTGGATGGCGGAGGTTTTGCAGGGCCGTTACTACTAATACTAACATTGGGCTGTTGAGTGGTGCTGTGGTGATGGTCAATTTGTTTTGAAGTCGGGTTGGTCCTCAATACAATAGATGAACTGCTCGTTTTTGTCTTTAGGTTGCTTCCATCCGAGATTGTAGGCACTTAGACCAAGGTTCTCGACAAGCACACCACAAGTGCAAGTAAGCTAGGTCAAGGCAAGTCAAAACCAAGTCTGGTCTAAAGCCAGGCACGTGTATCTGATTCTGTAGCTTAGCATGTCCGCATAGCTTGATAGAGTGATGGAGAGCTGAAAATTTATATATATGCCCGGCTGGCTCAATGGTAGAGTTCTAGACTTCTAAGTTAAGTTAGAAGTTAATCTAGGGGTTGTGGGTTCGAGTCCCACGTCGGGTGCTGTATTTTGCTGGACATTTCTATTGACGTGCTTCTTTTTCCCATTTCTTTCGAATCATCCAATGTCTGTCTTAGCGAGATTCTTTTACCGCTTCGTAGAGGGGTTATGTTGGACTAGTGAGGGGAAGAAGAAAGATAGCTGCTAGCTCCCGGAGCTCGAGCATATCGTGGGTGCCAAGTAAAACCGCAAGTCAAGCAAGGAGAGGTTTAACCCTGATCCTGACTCTCTGTATAATACAGCTGGATGTATTTAGGGCACTAACACTCTTTAGGCTTAGTGCCTCCTGGCAAAATTCATAAAGTTCAAGAGTATACTGATCCGTATCCACTCACCGGCCTGACCTTTCTCACATCCATGATCAACCGTCTCAAGAAAAAAAAGAATATACCTCGCTGGAGATCGCGCCACCAATTCCGCCGATGCTGAGAGTCCTCAATCAAAAAGTCACGAAAATGAACATGTTCATGAATCCATTCCGGGCGCCGTCTCGAACAGGAACAGAGTGGTTCTCCGTCGGCGTCGCTTCGTCGTTCCCGGATGTCAGTCTGGAAAGCGAAAGCGAACCCCGACTTTGCGGCAAGCGCGGCGCAAATGCCAAACCAGGGTGCAAAGTCTTCTACGTTCCAAAGACGGACACTTCCCAACGGACCGAGGTCGAGATCCCGGCGGAGGATATGACGCAGGACTTGACGGACCAGGTCCTCGTATTTCAGTATCGTGGCACATTCCATGCAATCGACCATGTAAGTGCCTAAACGTCCGTGAACACAGAATAATATTATATTGATCCCGCTGTTTCAGCAATGCCCCCATTCCTCCTACCCCCTTTCGCAGGGCATCCCGTTCGATATCGAAGACTTTGGCATTGTCCTCAGCGCAGCACTCACGTGCCCAAAGCACGGCTGGTCCTTTGACCTGTTTTCAGGCAGGTCGGATCGCGGGAATTACAAGCTCAAAGTTTGGGAGGTTCAGTTGCGTGAAATGGACGGGACGAAGACGGATGATAAGGAGGTATGGGTGAGGAGAAAGCCGAGGATCGGGTGATACAGTAATGGCTTGAAAAGCGGCAAGGGGTAGTAGCGCTCTACTCGTCACCGGTCACTCACGCCTGGACTCAATGTGAATTCTATCTCGACGCCGAACCAAGGCCTCCTCCCGTCACATATTCTGGACACAAGCCTTGCTCTTCACACCGAGTCCACTTGGCTCAATCTCGGCCTTGATTTGCGGCCGAACCAGGACGGCATCAAACACGTGTTCCAGGCTGGCCAGCTCCTCGGCACATATCTGGTGGTGGAGAACGATGCGCGGCGCGGCGGTAAAGATACCGCTTCGCATGCCCATCTCGTTTAGCCTCTCCGCCGTGACGCCAGCACTCGCGAGATCCAGCCAGACCATGTTGGTCTCGGTCGGGCGGAGCAGCCGTCCACCGCGGTCGGTCCACATGCGCGCCACGGCGGCCGCCATGCCATGGGCCGCACCCAGCACGCCTCTCACATCTACATCCCCCGGCCCAAAGTTCTCCAGCACCGCTTCCCTGGCCGCCGCCGCCAGCACGCCCATCTTCCTGGCCCCACCCCCAATGCTCTGGCGCAGCGTTTTGACCCGGCGAATGACCGCGTGCGAGCCGACCACCACGGCGCCGATGGGCGCGCCGATGCCCTTGGCAAAGGACAGCGTCATGGCGTCGGCGCACGCCGCAATCTCGGCCAGCGTGCCCGCCCGGCGCCCGTCGTCGTCAGACCCGGATGCAACCGCAACCGCATCCCACACCCGCACCCCGTCAATATACACCCTGACCCCGTGGCGCGCCGCCCACTCCCGCACCGCGCGCAGCTCCCGCAGCGGCACCACGTTCCCGTGCGCCGTGTTCTCCAGACTCACCACCCGCGTCGGACACGCCGTCCACGCCACACACCCATCCGTCTCCTCGTCCGAAACCACAGTCGCGTGCGCCACGACGTCGGCCAGCGTCAGGTACAGCCCGCCGTTCCCGTTCTTTTTCGGGGGCTGCACCGGCTGAAGCGTCGCACCGGACAGGTTCGCGAGCCCGCCGGCCTCGAAGTTCACCACGTGCGCCGAGGCGTCGGCGAGCACGCCCGCGGGTGGGTACGGCACCAGCGCGCCGATGGCCAGCTGGTGGGCCATGGTGCCTGATATCACGAAGGCGGCGGCCTCGCGGCCGCAGACTGCGGCCATGTGCTCTTCCAGCTGCGCTGTGGTGCGGTCCTCGCCGAAGACGTCGTCGTTGAGGGTTGCGCGGCTGATGGCGGCTAACTGCCGGATGGTGGGGTTGTTATTGCGTCCGCTGGTCATGGTGGTGGTGGTGTGAGTGATCGTTCTTGTCTTGTTGCGGTGGGCATGGAGAAGGAGAAGGGGAAACCAAGGGGGCAGGAGTGACGCTGGCTGGCAAGGGAACTCAACTCACTTCGAAAGTCATATGCGGTTCCGGTTCGCGCGGGATTGTCCCAGGAAACCTCGTCATCGTCGAGAAGGGGGGGAAGGGGGAAAAAAAGGGGG